TTTGAAGGTGCAGTTTTCATTTTTAAAAATATGATTTTCTTTATCTCCTTTCTAGTTGTGTTTATTTCTTCTATCCTACCTCGCTTTAACAAAATGTTGATGCAAGAGATTAGGGCATGGTAAAATGGCTGGGCAATTGGGCATGACCTGTCAATCATAGAGATCCAGGACACATGCCGAATAGCTCTGCAAGACCTGGAGGACCAAACAGAAAATACTGTCTTCAAATCTTCTAATGAAAACTGACACAAGTCTTTGGTAAGACAGCCCAGAAAACATATCTGCAGGAGTAGTATGAGACACAAAACATGGTTGCCAGTTAGGTGTGCTCTTTGGCAGTAATCCACTGTCACGCTCAAGAGTGTACTTATTTTTCTTATTTTAATCAGACTGCAGAGTGTGTTTCCTTTCCTACCTGTAATACATGTAAACTCTCACTATGTTTTGTGCTAGTTTTGTCCTATTATTTGTTCAGGACATTAAGAAATTATAATGAATCTCTCTAGTAGGTGTCCCTATCATCCTATTACCTAGCAGCATACTTTGCTGAAGCCATCCTGGAGGAGCTAAGACCCTTTGGGAACAGTTTGATTCTGTCTTGAAGTCTTTGTACTCAAGAAATGTTACCAGGTTTTGGTATACTAGAGTCTCCTTTTGAAAAAAGAATTGGTCAAGACCAGCATAAATGGTAGTGAAGTTTTATTAAAGGTAGGGAAAAAACAGGCTCTGAAAAGTGAGTTTGGGCCACATAGGAAAAAGATGTATACCATGCAGCATGAGTGTGGGCATCATGCAAGGGAGAACTCAGTAGTGAAAATCCCAGCGTGTACTGTTCCTTTTTATATATCCTGCTCCTCACATTCACATCAGGTCCCTAAGAGACAAACATCCCCACAATTCTTTGTAGAGTTCGGAGAGAGTACAGGTCCCTATCTTGTATGTTTCTTCCAACTGGAAGTGATAAGACAAGAGAGACTCCATTTTTCTGTTTTTAACTCCATAATAAGAGAAGTCACTTAAAGTTCACCTAAGCTGTGGTTCACCCCAGTCACCTTGGTTAGTTAGCAACTCAGAGCAGAACAGAGTTATAAAATGGGAACAGAACAAACAGGACAAATTGGGAAGTGGGCTGAAGTTAAACTGCAATGGTCATTTGAAATTTGGTTGTCTGACCTTCTGGGAGAAGTAAACTTTGTGATAATTGTGTGACATTCTTGTAAGATTCCCAAAAATGAGGTAATGGTTACTATGGAAACCTGAAATGTACTTAAACTGAAAGTGAGATGAAGATCGGCCCAGACATCTCTGGCTCCTGGTTAGAGACTGTCCATCAGCCGGCTCCAAAAAACTTTGTTCATTCCTGCCTTTTTGGTTTTCTGCCTTTCTTGATGAACTCTCTTGCCATACCAAAAGGAGTTCTAGACGTTAATTGCTGAGGATTATGTGCTCTCCAACTGTTTCGAGGGTTGTGACTCACTGGCTGAGTTGAAGACAAAAACTGTTAGAAAACAATGAGAAAAGATTTACTGAGGTTGAGCTGTCTGTTTGATGGGAAAAAGAAAGTAACTATCACCTCGGGGATGCAGAAGCCATATATGAGTAAGTCAGATTTCCACACTTTCTGTTTAAGCACAAAGTATGGTGAAGAAGGTTAGATAAATTATGGAGAGCCTGAGACACACCCTTAGCAAGGTTATCCACATGATGGGTCTAAAAACGAGAGCCTCTACAAGGATGTCATTTTAATCTATGGCAAATTATGGTCATCAGAGTTCCTACTTATTAGCATACAGAGGAATACTGTAGACTTGCTTTGTATTGTGGTACTATATGTGTTGAACTCAGGACCTTGTACATGCTAGGCAAGCACTCTGCCACTGAGCTACAGATCTTCCAGTTTCTCAGGAATAGCTTTATTCTTAGTCCTGTGAAAATTGTAGTTACCATTTCCCATGTGAGAATTTTATAGCTTGTCACTATTTTACTTGAGGAAGGACCAAAATGGTTCCTCAGGAACTGACAATAATGTTAGGCCGTTACTCACAGACCTAATCCCTTTCTAGGCCCTTCTCTCCTAGGATGAGTTTTAATCAGTCACACAGCTCAAATCCTTTAACATTTTTTCTGATATTTCTTGTTAGGAAGAGGCAGGGAACTAGAGGGTAGAATACACAGAAGCTAGGGAATTCAGAATGTTTTGGCTTTAGGAAGTTTCCTCACAAGTTCTACCATGCAAAAGGGTGTATCGGGGAAGCACAATGCCTAGCTGTTTTTCCCAGCTGGTAAGAGACGCCCACAGATCTGCCTCATATTTTCTCCCCCTTTCTTTCTTCTTTTTCCTGTTTTTGGTCACTCATTTCAATTATGATCCAGTTAAGAGCTTTTAGGTTGCTTGTTACTAACCCAGTAACAGAGTCATTTGGTTATGCATTTTGATTGCCCTGACATTTTTATTTTCAGAATTCTTACTGTACTTGGAACCTGCCTGTGCTCAAAGTCTCATTTGCAATTTCCCCCTGAATGACCTTATATCTCTGATTATCGTTTCTTTTTTTTTTTTCCTCTGGGTATCTTTACTGAGTTTCCATCTCAGGGTCTTATTTCACCTCAGCTACATGGCTCCACCATGTTTGGTAGCCATTTTAGTTTCAGTCACATGGTTTGCCATGTTTGTTGGCCATTTTGTTTGCTTGCACAGGTAAACCATGTGGTTCTGCTTCTTTGTTCAGTATTATCTTTTTCTCAATTGACCTCATGAACACCAGGAAATCTCATCCTCATATGTAAGAGCTAAAACCTCTGCTTTGAGGGGTCATATGAGCCTCCTCCCCATTTCTCTACTGAATCCGGTTAGATACACTCCCTGTTTTTCTAAAAAAAAATCAGATAATTTAGAAATGTGTGTCTAAAGGACTCAACAGAACAAAGGGAACTTCCACTAAAGGTCAACTCAAGCTGCCATGAATATGCAAAAATGTTAAGGTGACTTTTCTTTTTCATTCTCTTAAGTGATTTTTTTTAAAAAGATTTCTACTTCTAAAGTCTTAAAGTAATTGTGAACATTTTATTATTGAGAGCCATAAGTGATACACTTTCTCAAGTGGCTGGTTGTAAGTGTTAGGGATGGGGGCAGAAGTCCCCAGGCAGGCTGCACTGTTTTCTCTGAGAAGTCATGGTGGGACACAGAGTATGGAGAATTCTAACCAAGAAAGAGTAAATATGTAAATGATTAGGCCCAGAAACATCTTCAAATGGAGATATCTTGTTGTAGTTCTGGAGTCTCACAAAGGACACCTTGAGAATACAACATGCCTGCCTTCTTCTGCACTGGACACCATCCGA